TATAAATATTTATATATGTAAGTATATTAGAAAGTAATATTAGTGAAATTAAAAATGTAAATAAAAAACTGTTTGGGCTTGTCAAAGAAACGTGACTCTGATGACAATTAGAATATTCTTATTGGATTTTCGATAAATTTTAATTGTCTGGCTGCGTTTGGCATGCCAAGCAGGCTGATTGCATTCGCTGCCCGCTTTGGGCATAGCTCGCCCCACTGTTTTGTGGCACATCCGTTCGTACCACTTTCGTTTCGCTCTTTCTTTCTTTCTTTCGTTAGTTTTGTGGGCTTTGCGTTTGTTTATTGTGCTTGCAATGGAGCATGAGGTTTCTTCGTATATGTAACTAATAGAGGAGCTAGGCAGTATTTATTTCATTTTTCTTTTTATGTATATTTATTTTATTGTGTTTTTCTTTTTAATTTTTAAGCTGCTACCGCTGCACTGGCATGAATTCGTTTGATATCGGGGCGCAAAAAAAAAAAAGGAAAAAGAAAAAAACCCATCAAGACAAGTTTGACTGTAGTTGAAATCAATATAAACCTCTCAAGGTGAGAGACCGCATCAACTTGTCGTACACGCAACGCCCTACAACAACAACAACAACAACAGCAGCAGCAGTGACGACTTCGTCATCATCAGCTTCGTCAGTTTCATCCTCATGCAATAATCATCATTAAAATTTTCTGTTCGCATTTTACTGATAATTTTTTAATTATAAATCATTTCGTTGGCCATCGTCATCATTGGAGCCAATATGCCGGGCCGGCAGCTAAAATAAAACTTTGATTGATTACACTCACCGTGTCTAGCCTCCATTCACACACACACGTACGCCAACGCATACTGTGTTAAATTTATGGCTCTATTTAAAGATTGCCTTCACAAATTAGCACGCTAATTTGCATATTTCGAACGCATCTGCATTTCGGATGCTCTCCAAGCTGAAACTCGCTTTCTTTCGTGTTACATTGACAAATTGACGCGGCTCGACTTCGCCTCACTCTGCTTTTATGCAAATTTTTGTTGTGCCGTGGTTTATTTGGCTCAGGGTTAAAGTAATTTGACATTTGAACAAAAAAATAAAACCAAACAAAAAACAAATAAATACATATTAATAACTTATAGTTGGGCAAAGCTTTTTATTTTTTATACAGCAGCAGCTTGAGGCTTTTTAGCCCATTTCTGATAACCACTCCGCCTTACATTGACTCATTCATACATATAACGCATTTGTTTATTTGTTTCTGCTTGATTTATGCGCCAACCAAAACTAATTTGCAATAGTTAAATGGGCTTTAATCAAAGATGTTCGACTAGCGGTTACTCTGTTATTTAGAGCGACTGCAAATTAGATTGCATAAGGA